TTTTTTTATTTTTTATTTTATTTTATTTTTACTTTCTTTTTACCTTCCTCCGGAGCACCGTCGCTACCTTCGACCTGGGTCCGGAGTTCATGAAGTGAACGGTAGACTTACTGCGTGGATCAGGCGCAGCGGTCAGTCCTCCGGAGCACCGTCGCTACCTTCGACCTGGGTCCGGGATTACATATCCTCATTCTTTCAGGTCCCTGTTCGGGCACCACTTGTCGCGAGCCGCGACGTCAGGATCCTGCCAGCAGGTTCTAAACCTGAAAGGATGAGGACAGAGACACGGGAGGCACCTTTCTTCTTCAGTTGCTTCCTTTATTATCGAACCTCGCCCTTTTATACTCTCCAGCTGCATGGGAGCGAGAGCTGCACGGGAGCGAGGGAGCGAGGGTACCGCCCACACATTCCAGAGGGAAACAATAACGACCATTATGGGTTACATCTGCTACTAGCTGAACTCGCCCGTGGCTATGGGCGAGAGCACCTCCGTGCCAGCGAGGTGACTCAAAGTTCAGTCATGGCTAGGCCTGTGTCAAGGCTCACCATAATGGCTCGCCATAGTTTATATTTCAACTAGTCTTGCTTCCATATCGACAGCAGTACTGTGCCCTTAGATCCACACACTCCCTGGAGATGAACTGTCTTTTTTTTAGGTTTTCTAAACTGTAATTTTATTGCTACGTGCTTGCAGCAAACAATGGCGGCATGGTCATGAGGAGCCGGAACATGGGCGTCATTCGTCCCCTCTTGGCAAGCCTCACCTGACAGCTGAGTTCCCGACTGGGACGGCAGTGAGCTGCAGGGAGTGCCGAAGATAGAGACAGGTGCGTTACAGCACCAAGCAGGGGCAGGGAAAGACTCACATCTGAGGTCAAAAATCTGCAGAAATAACTCACAGTTGTTTTCAAGCTTGTCCAAACCGGAGCTGTTGTCTCTGCGCCTCTAAGAAAGTCACAGGTTCTACTCAGCTGTGTTGCCAACTGCACTGATCTCTTGAGCTGCCTGCCACGCGGGAGGGAAGCTGGAAGGGACCTCAGTCCTAAGAGAAGGAGGACAAAGAGCAAACTGATGTGAGGGCCGGCCAGCCTCCCCAGACAGAAGGACACTCTCCCTTCAGAAGACAACGTCAGTTATTTAGTTAGAAGTACCTAGAATAAGGCAGGGGCACGCTACACTTCACTGTACAAAAATAGCCTGTAATTACATCTAACTATTTCCGCTGTAATTGTTTTCGCCAAAGGTTTCAGTCGGCAGAAAGGACTAGGAAGAGGAGTGGATGGAAATGGCCTGGTTGAGAAAGATAATGTATATTTAGCGCCAGATAGGGAAATAAATTGCTAAATGGAAGGCTCAAGAGAGATGCAGCTCAGGAATAGGTGAACAGAAAGAAATGCCTAGAGCAAAGCCTGGCTGACCTCCTGATAAGAAAAACCCAGGGTGAGGCATAGTCACAAGGCAGGGCATTGACAGATAAGTGCTGAATCCCAGTGCCTGCAAGGAGAGGAAGACGGGAGATGTCTGTGTGCCGACTGCCATGGTAAGCACTTTCCCAAATGCAGTGGACACTTTGTGCTGTTTGTTGACCGAGGGTAGGCGTTTGTACCCAGGAGAGCAGGGACCGAATGTGACTCACGGGAGCCATCCAATCAGCCCGTACAGTATGTGGTGCACAGGCTGCTAAAATCTCATTACTCTATACAGGGTGAGGAATACATTCATCAGTTCCCAAATCTTAGTCTCGAAGTCCTGTTTTCACCATCTCTGCCATATCCCAGACCACGTACGTTCATATCA